TGTGGGAGTCATTTTGGAACTCTACTGCATGAGTCTTCAAGGTTTATTAATTTGTGCCTCAGTAGTCTAGGACTCATTTTAAGTGATGAAATTAGGGCCCCAAATTAATTTACTCATTAAAAAGTTGAAAACTATATTATTAGAGTTAACTTATTAATTTAAAAACTAATGCCTATTACAACAATGTGCTTTACTGTATATGTATGAAAAGAAATAATAAATTTAGCTAGATGAACAATAATGTGAGAGAAATTCTTTAAGAAGGGAGAAGGATGGGAGAAGTCTTTAAGATACTAACAGCAGTCATGTTTTATTTTTAAGTAATTAGTGATAAATCCTAGAAGGAAGGACTTTGTGTCCTGGGCCATTTTTCCTTGTACTACTACTGCTAAAGCAGATCTCTGTACCTTCTGAAACAGATCTCAAAGAAAGAGTGACTAGCAGTAAGATAAAGTCCAATTCCAAAATTAAATTTCCTTTTACTATTTGTTGAGCCATAGCAGGCAGATTCTACAGATAGGATAAGAGTAAGTCTTTTTACATTCTGGCCAGGAAGAAAAATGTACTGATCATGTGAGACTGAGGCAACATATTTTAAGTTCTAATCAAGACAGACAGCTCTTCACAGTCTCTTGAATGGTTCTTGACATTTAGATTCCACCTCTTAGAAGACATTGCTGAAAATAAGTGATAGGCATTTAGATAATGACAGTTATTAATGTTGATAACATCTTATATTTTGCTCTAAATGTAAACATTTTGAACAATTTAAAATTCTCGATATGATTCAATTATGTGTGTATATTCATGAGTATGTTTGTGTCATCTGTACATCTCAGGTACTTTTTATATGAAGGTGATGGGATTTCTTAAAGACTGTTTTAGAGCTCCCGCCCCCTGCAAGTGTCCTTCCTATTCAAATGCCATTCTTTGAAATATTTTTTAGTGATTGAATTCCTAGAAAGGCACTATAGTAGTTTTACAACATCCCCAGAAGGGCTACACAAAAGTACAATAGAGTGAACCTCATGGATAGACTTGGAGTGACCATTTGAGGAGGTCCAGGGTATTCCACTCATGTACCAAGTTGATTCTTTGCTTGTTGAAGTTTAGAAATAATTTAAAGAAGTAACTACTCAAAACAACCTCTCTTTGAATGACAGCATTACATATTGAATGTGAGATTTGTATACAAATCACTTGAGTTCAAGTTCAAGTACTATTCTGACCACATAATAGCTTTGCAATTTACATAATCTCTCTGAACATACATTTCTTCAACTTTAAAATGAGAATAATATCTTCTGAAAGATTGGGGGAAGTTATGTAAAATGAAGTATGTATGGTGCCTGGCTGCATATTTGGCATGTAGTGGGTGTTTGAAAAATGGTAGATGTTGTTATTACCTGCGTGTATTTTGGAAGCAGATATTTAAAATTTTGGCATACTCTTTCCTACTTTGCCACATAAGTAGAGTATGAAGAATTTCAGCCAAAAGTTTAAGAACTTCTAATCTGAAGATATTTTTAAAAATATTCTACTTGTTCATATAATACAACATTGCTTACCTGTGAAATGAAAAGATTTAACTAAAACTCTAAAGAGGGAGAGGGAACTAATGCTTTACTGAACATCTAAACCCTAGCTCCGCAACATATGAGCACAGCGTCACCTTGGGTAAGTTACTTAAGGGCTCTTTACCTCTCAGTTGCCTCATCTGTAAAATGTAGTTATTAATCCTATCTATTTCTAAGGATTAAATGTATTTATGAATGCAAAATAATTAGAAATGTATTTTGACACATAAGCACTATCATATAGAAGTGTTAACTTACAGTAGCAATAACAGTAGTAATAATATTGTTTTCATCAGCTACACTAAATGTTTATATAAATTGTCATTTATATCTCATAACCTTTCTGTAGGACAAAGATCATTTTATAAATGAGGGAACTCAAACTCAGACTCACTTGTCACAAAGCTGGTCAGTGGCTGTTGGCACTTGAATCTAGATTCATCTGGATCCTAAGAACTATACTTTTAGTGTTAAATTATCATTTAAATTTCTAAGCTTTCTTTGATTCCTGAAGTTTCAAAATGGGGATTCAAGAATGATCCAGCCAAAAGTCCCCTTGAAACCAGATAGCCCGGGTTGTGTAGTTGGTCAAATTAAATCTTTAAAGGGAAAATAATATTAACCAATTTATTTTAGTTACTGTATCCAAGAACTTTCATAAATTGAAAGTCCTTTAAAGTGACTATTTAATGATTCATTTTTTTGACCATAACCCGTATGCTTAGAATAATAATAAAACTTGTGTTTTACTATTACTTGTGTGATACTAAAATATTATTTAACAATTTATTTATAAGCATTTAAAAGAATATATCTGTGTTTTGAGGGAACTGTAAATTTAGACTTAAGAAAAATTGAAGCCTTCAGAAGGATTAACTTATAAATTTTGTGTAAAACATATATATATTTTCATTGATTTTACATACTATCAGAATAGCGTTAATAAATGCAAAATCCTTTGGTTTATCCTTAGAATTAACTACTATTTGTTTTCAGATTTAAAATAATTATTTGGACTTTAATCTTTTGAATTTCTGTGCAGCTTCTAATTATTTTTCCAATCAAGCAGATAGGCAATTTGAGAAATAAATTGTTACTATTCAGTACTTTTTAATTATTCCATCTCTTTCTCTCTTATAGAACTAACATTAAACCTCGAAATTCCACACCACCCAGTTTGGCAAGAAATCCTACTACATCAAGTGTGCTTACAAGCAAAAGAAAAACATATACTGAGAGCTACATAGCCAGGTATGTTTAGCTCTGCTATCCTAATAATTAAAACAAAATATGAATGTATATAGTTTTCCAAAGATCATATACAAAAGTAAAGTAACAAGCTCTTCATAGAAAACCTGATTTTTCCTTTGCTATATATATGATTTAATCTGGCTTTTAGGTTGTACACTAGAGAAGTAGTTTGGGCATAAATAGTATTGTCCTATACCTTGTTATCATTATTGTAGTAAATGCTCAAAGACAATTTGTTGAGTTCTACTGGATTCATTTGGGCTTTTGGTGTATTAATTTTAACTGCAACATGGTTATTTTTACCTGTACAAATGGAATAATAGACCTGTTGAACCACTGCTAGTGTAATTTTCAGCAACATTTTAATATTTAAATCTGTCCTCTGAAGTGATTATTTAGATACTTCCCTTTCTAATCTGTCATGATATTTACTCAACTCTGGCATTCACAAAGTTGAGTGATGAACTCATCTCAGTTATAAATATTTGTTTTTCGTATGTATATCCCAACTTATTCCTGAAAGTTTTAAGGCAAGGTACATAAATCTACGAAGTACAATACAACTTGAGAAGCAAAGACAATGAAATCTTGCAAACAGCTAGAGAAAAAATAGCCTTACCTAGATAACGTGAATATTACCCATACAGTACACAGCTCACTTGTGACACTAGGAGCCAAAAGACAATAGAATAAACCTGTTGAGAGTGTGGAGGGAGAATAACTGCAGACCTTAGATTGTATACCAGCTATACCAGTGGTTCTCAAACTGTAATGTGCATCAGAGTCACCTGGAGGGATAATGAAAGCAAACTTTTTACCCCACCCCAAGATTTCTGATTCAATAGGTCAAGAATAGGTCACAACATTTTTCATGTATTAGCAAATTCTCAGATGATGCTGATCCTACCAGATAAAAGATATCATTTTGTGAATCACTGACTTAAATTATTCCATAAATGAGAGTGAAATAAAAATATTTTCAGACAAAAAGTATTGAGAAAATTAATGATCTGTAGACCCTATTAAAGAAACATCCTAAGGCTGAATCTTAGGAAAGAGAAGTGACCAGAGGAGGAGGAGGAATTTTTAAAAGGAGGAATATGAGCAAAGAAATTGATAATATCTAAGCTAATACTGAGTGTATGAAATAATAAAGATAAAACAATGAAATAAAAAGATAATAAAGAGCACAAATTCCTAGAAAACTATAACTTACTAAAAGTGATTTCA